AGCCCTACATAAAGTAATCTAAAGAAGAGGTTACCAATGCACAGATTCACATGCCAGGCCATCCCTGTTCAGATAGGGTGGAATTGACATACCAGCCAAGCGTGGTAGCCAGTGCTCATCACAAGGCAAGTCACATGTACTTTTAATGGTGATGATGATGAGCTCCACCACGGATTTACCTGAGGCAATGCAGCCTCATTTACAGCAGGCAATATTTCCAGTTTCCATATGGGAGAAGCACCCAGTATGCTACCCTTACCTTTCAATACTGTCATAATAACCATCCACTGTCCAGTGCCCTCCATATGCGCCCTCCTTCACCTTCCAGCCAATAGTCAAAATACCTAGGAATGCTACTTGTAGTCCGACTTACCTGGCAGGCACCCGCTTAGTGAAAGCTAGCCAAACAGAAATGTTGCAGTACAGAGGTGCATGTGTATAATCACTACTTAAATAGATCATGTTTTCCCAGCTTCTACTTAGGACAGCATGGTTTGATTGAAGATTTCCAGGCAGCAAGTTGTCATGACTGAGTATTCTTCCACTTAAATTCTATGTTCCACTTTGAACATAGAAAGCCACAGGGAAAGGCTAAATTAAAATTCTTGTTGTCATAATTTCATTTAAAACTTATATCCTACTCCTTTCACCAATTACAGATATGCGTCTTTTTAAGCGGGGAAGTCTGAGGTTTTGGAATTGGTGCAATCCTATGTTATTTCTAAGTGGAGAAAGCATAGCTTTGTTTCTCCTGCCATACTGTTAATCATACACATATAATACAATTCTGAGAGTGAATGGTATGCTGCCTAACACTGATAGATTTCTTGCCATTCAATATATTTGCTTGTTTTTAAAACATAGTTATGGAATAAAATTATTTCTATTATATCAGAGGCATTTTTTATCAGGGTACATTCGCAAGCAGCAGAAATGTATTCTTAGAAACATTTAAAGCCTTGTTTATGGAAAATTCTTTGAGAAGTTACTAACAAAACATACTCATTAAGTTCTTTTAAAGGAAATTTATTCAATATCATTGAGGATATCTTTGTTCTCATAAACAACTGATCTTGTAATCCATCATGCTGTTTCAATAACTATTTTAGGCAGTAACTGTTAACACTTTTTTCATTCATGTTCCTTTGATTCAATTGTATCAAAGGGTACAATTAGCTTCTGCACTGAAAATTAAAGTGGTGAAGGAAAATATGCTGATTAGCATTTCCAAAAATTCTGCTTCCAATCAGTAAATTATATCCAAATGCCAACTATTGTAGCATTAACTTTGTGTGAAAACAAATGCAGTCGATTCCACTTTTTATTTCTGTATTAAAAGTTATTTTGAAACATATATGAAGGATACTTTACATTCCTTCATATTTCCATAGTTAAACTAGTTGATTTTTGTAAACCCAGTCAGCTTCTAGCACTTTAAGATGATAGAACCAAATAACCTTTGAGCTGTGGACTTCATTTATTCATACTCATTCTTTTAATGACTGCTAGAATTGATTGTAAGAGCTAGTACGCCTGCAGTAGTATTAGACAAAAGGAAAAGCACTTCTTGGCAGGTTCCTGAGTGGATTCATCTGATTTAATATGCATTTTTTGATTACTGTCTAACCTTCCACAACCTTTACTGTCTGTCTTTTGTCATTAAAGATTCATCTGCCAACCTATTGGGTGAAATAATAGTCTGAATTACCTCATCTTGACCTATTTTAAATCAATGCTGGCCAATATGTAGTATATAATTTGAGTAGCATGCCTTCATGGGAAAAGAGATTTTTCAATTTAAAGAGATAGATAAATGGTGCAATTTATGCACAAGTATAGCTAACTGGTTAGATTAAATCCTTGGTTTGCTACAACCTTGATCTGGCATTCTGGCAGTAGCAAAGCCCAAGAGTTTAATTGAACTATCCAGTATCAGGGGGATTAGCAATCTGCATGGGTGTAATTATGCTGCAGGGATCTGATTGAAGTCTGTTATGTGCCACGATGTAGCTCCCTTGGAATCCTGACAGTTGGAACACAAATGTATTCTAGCTTCAAGTGACCAGGAACGTCTCACAGCAGCAAAGGCCACTGAGCAGGTGCCAGCCATAGGCGACTTCCCAAAAAATTCAACATAACATGTAACACAATTTCCCTCGGTTCACTTTAGATCCAGGTCTAAGCTGATCTGTCAGTCAAACCCACATCTGAGACAAACAGCAGGAAGCTCTGGAGGAAAGGAGCACAGCCAATCCTATCCTCTCTGTCCAGAATTAGCCGAGCTTTTCATGAACTGTGAGGGTCTGAACCTTCAAAGAAATATAGCAGCGCTGCACACATTTCCCTCACTCCAGCCAAGCTGCCCAACTCTCCTGAGCAGCTGGAATCAGTGGAATACCAAATGCAGAAGTGAGCAGCAGAGGTTTGGTTGAAATAGCAAGAAATCTGCAGAGACCTACTGTGCTAAAAGGCTGCTTGACAAGCAAATTAACCAAAGCAAAAGTAAACTTTGCTTCTCAGCAATACAAAGTTGAGTACCACTGTGATGTACTTTTGTCTGTCAGCTACCAAGGGCTAAATGCCATTGTCTGTCAACTGTCCTATGTGCTCAAACAGTAGCTTTCAAATACCGGATGTATGACTCTTTCCACTACATTTCTACCTTTTTGTGATCATGGGACTCAAGCGGCATGCACAGAGTTCCCATTTTGACTCCCATAAAGATACTGATCAACAGGCACAGCTGGAGTCTAGGCACAGCAACCCTTCCCCATCTATGCTCAATTTATGTGCTGCTGCAGTTAGAGTGCCCCTTTGCACATTCCTGTTTCAGAGCTTCTTGCACTCAGCACTGCTTAGCCAAGTGCCATAGAATGAAGGGAATGTAGGCGCCTGGGAGTTGGTGAATATGCTCAGATTATTCCTTTACAGTTTACTGGAAGTTCCTTGAGGCTGAAAAGCAGTTTGTCCAAAAGGAATGTGCTGGCTGAGACACAGCAATGGTCCTGATACAGTTCCATGCAACCAACATTAACACACAGGAAGGTGGGAATACTGGCAGCTCTGGCCATTTTGTTTCTAGTTGAGTTGTCTCCGGGGGCACACCTGTACACAGTTGACAAGCCCTGTAAGATTTTTTTTCTGTTTGCTTTCTCAGACAGGAGAGCAGAGCAAGTGCAAGCAGCACAGAACTTGGAGACAAGCACTGGCGGGTCCTCATTATTTCTTAAATTAAAATGTTTTAGAACTTTAAAGAGGGCTTTTCTTTTTGCACCAATAGTCTGTGGGTATGGGATCATTCATGGGAGTGGGATGTGGGTTTGTTCACTGGACCTTTTTGGAGAATAAGACCTTTCTCCATTGTTCACAACAAAAGAAAAGTTGGTTTCCTTGGGAACTACTATTCAAGAAGATTCAGAGTGCCTTGAGCCAGCACTTTCTGAAGCTCTTCTCTTATTCTCACCTTTCTCACAGTGTAGGATGAGAGAAACAAGCCTCACTGGGAACTAGCACTGCAAGGTTCAGTAAGTGCCTTAGGATAGTGCCCTCACTTTTCCTGCTGTGTGGGAATGACAAAAGCAGGCTGACTCTGGGAGAAGCAGGCTGAGCTGTGGTTTGTGTGTATGTATGAGAGAAATAGAGAGGCAAAGTGTCTGACCAAATGGGTGTGTATGTGAATTTGGAAAGGGGCTAGGAAACTTATGATCGGTTGCTGCTGTGCTCCAAAAGATATCATTGTTATCATTACATGCAGTGGGGTGGATTGTGGCAGATGCTCCCAAAACATGCTGCTCATGCTAACTCCTGAGTAATCTAATCCTACTTGCAAGCAGATATACAGAAGCTAATGCAGGGTTGTACTCTTTCTCACTTCTGAATAGGCATACAGAATTCTGAATGAAGGAAGGACGTGCCAGTGGGTGGATTTTGGTTGTATGAACTTGTTACTTTTCTATGTGGCTATGATCATGTTGTTGTTGTTGTTCTTATTATCCCTTTCTCTTCACACTCAGCTTTATGGGCATGCTCTTGTATCCCCTTTTACAATACCATACCTGCTTTACTATATCAGAGTTAATACAACATATGACTTCAGATTGGGCACACCTGCCACATTCTTAACACATGCATTTATTTCACCCCCAGAGAGCCAGATCAGATTAGAATTAATTGTATTTAGAGATTTGCAAAACCCTTCTAAGGAACTTTGAATAAAAATCTTCTTACCCATAAGCCAGTTGCATATTTCCCCCAAAGGTACCAGTAAATCTCTGCCTATTTCTCCAAGCTGTATCCAGATTATCTCTTAAGAAACAGATACGAATAAAACTATCCAACGTCCAGCAGAAATAAGAGGAATTCCTGCTGGTCTATCACAAGATGAAAGCATAGCACCAGCAATCCAACAATGTGGCAGAGGGGGACTCACATGCAGGGTCAGCTGTACCACTGGGCAAACTGAGGTAGTCTAAGATAAGAGATTTTGACTGTCATGAAAAGGCAACAAAATGTTACTTCTCTATGGTGCAGTCCTATGCATTCTGGAGAAAGCTAAGAGTTGTAGGACTTTTGCCTAGGATTTCATAGGATTGTGCCTTTATTTGTTGTTGCAGTATTTTATTGCAGGAAAGGGAAGAGACTCTTGAGGGATTTTCTGTATCAGACGCCAAAATAGCTTGGCTGGCGTCTTTGCACTTTGATTACAGGGGGGCACCATTCTTTGCTCTGTCTTAGGTAGAAACATGTCCTGTGCCAAGCAAATAGGTGAATTAATTAGAATTCACTTGTAAAGAAAAATATAAGAAGGAGAAGAAGAACCAATAATTATTTTCAAAAGATTTCTATATTTTTAAAAGTGTTGAGTTTTTTATACTGTTAACACTGAAAGAGAAAGAATTCACAAGAAAATTATTGCTGTAGTTAGTTTTCATTTGTTTACAACAAGATTGAATTCATATGCAGCCTTAGAAGATTAAAAAGCTTTTCATTTTGCTTTTCAGTGTGCAGTGACCTGGAGTTCAGAGAGGTTGCAAACAGATTGCGAGATTGGTTCAAGGCTCTTCATGAAAGTGGAATTCAAAAGAGAACTAGAACTGTACAAAGACCTGAAAGAAGTAGTAAGCATTTACAACTTTTGATATTTCTTTGAGATAGTCTATATGAAGTTTGCTATTTTTAAAATGAATGTTACTTTTTTCTTGTGATTCTGAAACTGAGCTTTTTAGCCATTTCCTGTAGGAACATCAGCATGCCTTCCAGAAGTTAATTTACTCTGGCTTTCCCCAAGAAATAAAACTTATAACAATCTCATAAGACTTTCAGAAATGTTCAGTTAGTACAGTACACTTGAGTGCAGGTTTTGTATGGTCTGTCACTGATGAGGCTATTGTTAGCCTGGTTCAGCCTCTAATATAGAAGAAATTACTGAGAGAGCCTGACGATCATTCACATTGTAAAGGAAGTATAATAAAGAATTGCATCCAACATTCAATACATGGGCTTCTACTCATGTAATGAAACTTTACCTTTCCTTCTTTCTACCTGCAGCCTTGATACTCCCACAAATCATCCAGAGTTTGCTAACCATTGAGAATAGCTTTTGGTGGAGCATTGGGAGTATCAGGGAGATAGGAAATAAATTCCTAGAATTTTATGGCGAGTAGTGACTTCTAACACTTAGTAAATGCTTCTACAATAGCAAAGAAACACAGAGAATAATACCTTGTATGAAATGAACAGTCCTGCTCCAAAGAGTAAATAACCACGTGAAAATAATCTGTAAAATCTTAACAAGGTAAATTTTATATGCTTGAAACTGTGACGATCAAGTGTAGGAGGCCAGGTAATGCTAGGGAATGCCTCATCTCTGGGTCTGGGAAAACAAATTCAGTCTGAACTGCCTGGAAGCTCCTGTTTTATTTCCCCCCTCTTGGTGGGAGGCAGATAGGAGACTTTTTCCCAATTGCAAGAGCAACCAGCAAGAGCATAGGAAAAGGAGAGAAGCAGAAATGAAAGAGGGTCAGGGAAGGAAGCTCAGAGGTGAGAAAGAAGCTCCATGAGGGCCTCAGCAACCTCCACTGTATCAGTACCAGCAGGGAAAGAAGCCTTCCCCAGCATGTTGCTCTGCCTCAACCAATAAGAGAGAGGCTTCCCATCTTCTCAGATGCCTGGGGGCTTTTCTGTACCAACAAGTTGTTCCACTTGTCTTGGAGAGAATTCAGAATTGATATTTGCTGGAGTTCAGGAGGATTCTCAAGTGCAGATTCTTCAAACACAACATCTAAAGACCCTTCAAAGCACCTGAAAACTCTTGTAGCTATTCATCATCTACTGCAGATCAAGGCCATGGCGAAGGTCTCAGAGACTAGAATAATGTCCTCTCAATCTTCTTCACTGTCCTGAAGTGGAACAGTGAGGCTTGTCCCAACTTATATCTGAAAAGGGTGAGTTGCTGCCTCAAGAAGCGGAAATTCAGGATGAGCCCCTCAGATCCTTAATGGAATTTAAATTCTTTATACAGCAGTGAGTTTGTTTTCCACAAGTGAAGGAGCCCAGCAAAGCCCACCCTGGGACTGCTCTCCTTCAGGACAGGTGGATGGGTTCTGTCTTTTCTCCACAGGCTGATCACCTTGCTAGGTTTCAGGGCACTCTGCAGCATTGAAGAGAACCATCTACTAGATCCAGTTTGTGGTGCTTCTGGGACAATTTCCACCTCTTATAGGAAGTTTTACCTTTCTACCCCTGGAGGCACTAGAATTAGCTGTTCTTCTTTACTCATAGAGATCAGAAGTTCACCTGTGAGCAAAGAATTTCTGGTTTTTCTGTTGCAATAAAAATAAGCAGAATATCAGGTTTTGTGCTTACTGGTAGGCTTTATTTAAAACAGCATTTATTATGTACAGTGATACATTTCAGAGTGGTTTCCCACTGAGGAGTCAAGGCAAATTAGGTTTCCTAAGTATTGAACTTGGACCCTTCATTAACACAACAAGCCAACTCTGAATTTCTCTTGTGTGTTGCTTAATAGAGCTTGTTTGCTGCTTACTGCCTACCTTGATAATTTCACTATTAACATTTTAGATGTTCTGAATATTTTAATGTCTGTTTTACTTTGAATCCTCCTTTCTGCAAATTAGCACCACTAAGAAATCCCATTCTTTAACTGAAAATGTTAAATAATATCTGTGCTCTTTGGGCTAAACAAAGTAATAATGATGAGTTAAAGTGAAATAAAGATGGATCTGTCTTTAAATGGATTTTTTTTTCTTGTGATTTCAGAATGTTCCCCAACCTGGTACCCTCCAGATGTGTCAGTCTACAACTCTCATTATCCCCAGCCAGCTTATTAAATGGTCTTGGTACAGACTATGTTGGGAGTTGTAATGTGGAGAGCACCAGGTAGGGGAAAGCTAAGGGATGCATGGATGCAAAAGCTGCGCTGCTACATCTGCTGTCTTGTATACCAGCCTGTCCCAAGCTGTTGCCCTCCAGATATTTTAAAGTACAACTCCCACTCTTCCTGACTATCCCAACTGGGGTAAATAGGAACTGAAGGAAGTTGAAGGCCAAAACATATGGAGGGCACCAGCCTGCCGGAGGCAGATTTACACTACAGTTAGTGTAGCATCCCTTTGTGATTCAGCTGGGACATAACTTAAGCAAGATGAACATAAATGTCTACTGTAACCAGGAACACTGGGAGCCATGTGCACAGAATTCAGGTTTATATTCTTCTGTAGGCAAGTGAAGGAGCCATTTTGATAGCACTCTTGGTGACAGATATGCACAAGCTAACTTGTTTTTACCCCTAGATGAACTAAAAAAATTTACAGTATAACTAAAAGGTGAGGCATACTGATGAAATAGACAGGGCCCAGTCAATTGACATACCTTACAATGCTTAATAGTTTTTGATCTGACATTGGGTCAGATCTAGATTTTAATCATACTTAGGGAAAAGCAACTAAAACCAATAGGATTTAAGATGGATTAACATAAATCCCTTTGATTTTGATGGATCTTATTTAAGTATGCCTAAGTCTGGGACTAACCCATTAAATGTAAGAGAAACTGGAAGTGTTTTCATTTCATTGTGACTCATGTAAGTTTGCAAGCAATAAACTTTCAATTAATTTTTGTAATTGTAAATGAGGTGCTGAACATTCATGCTTAAAAAGGATTTCATATGAAATGATGAAAACTTATTCAAATAGACGGAAAAGACAATATAGGGAAATGCAAAATTTTTACATCTGGCACAAGGCTTGCATGAAACATTTTCCAATGCAGTTCTAGTGATTTGGCCCATGTCATCCCAACCTTTTTCCCTATGATAACCACAATGCAAATGCAAAGCAAAATGTAATGTGAAAATCATCACAGTGCAAATATGGAGCAACCTGCCCAGATTACTACTTAAAATAGTTTTAATATGGCTGTGCTTTCAAGCAGTTATTACTCTTCAGATTTAATGTGTGACCCCAATGGTATGTCCGCATTTTCAGTTTTCCTGTAGTTAGTAGGCTAGTATCCTCTTCAATTGAGTAGATGCCTGTATTCTTTTTACTCCCTAACTAGTATTCATATTATTGGATTCCAGAAAGGCATTGTGGTCCTAGAGAAGCCAGACCTATTGCACGTGGAAACTCTTGCCCTCACCTCCCTTCCTCTCTACTTTTCCAACTATCTGCCTACTGCTGCCTCTAGCCTGTTTTGATGGGCAGGTTTGTGTCATTTAAAGATTAGATCCTGTACATAAGTAAGCTTGCACATTTATTCTGGATGTATTCGGATCTGCTAATGATTGTGCTGGTAGCAGCAAAGGAAGGTGGGAGAAAGGATTGGAGGTAGCTGCTACCACCTGCCCTTTTTCAGGGCTTCCATCCATAGTCCTAAATCTTTCTTGACAGCACTTTCAGAGACTGGGATCTAAGACTGGAAGACTCTCAATATGAGGTGCTCCAGAATGTTTATAAAGCAAAATGGACATTCCACAATCCTGGCTTCTGGCCCTGACAGCAGACCCCGAAACCATGCTGCCTGGATGACATTATTCCTTGCAGTGATTTAACAGTCTACAGCTAAACTGAAAACTCATTTGGAAAGCACCATCACTTGATCTGGAATCCCATTCAGGTGCTAAAAAGCTGTTGCACATAGGTCAAATCTCAGTGTATCCAAATATGACAATTCTTTTGTATAGCTAAGTCTCAAACTTGATGGAAGCTAATTGCATCTGATTATTTTCTAGCTGTCATTTTTATTTTTTTGGTATCCATACAGAAACTTTTCTTATATGGGAATGTGGTATTTATTAGCTGAGCTGTTGGCTGACCTGGGGCTCTATGCCCTTAACAGCGATGTTGCATGCTGTGCCTCCAACTGCTACCAGCCCTTCACATTTCTATCTTGCATTTAATTCTCTGTCTCAGTTCATCAACTACTTAATCCTCAGCTTGTCTCATTCTCTCCCGGTAGCATTGGAAGAATTGACTCACTTATGCATTAATAGAGTGTTTCATAAATCTGGAAAAGATGCATGATTTCAAATTGAGATTGGAATAGTCCTGGAAATAGTTCTAGCATGCAAGACAGCTTCTCGAAAAACAAGCATGTCACTTTAAAAGCTGTTTTTATAAGGGCAACATCATTATTTTACTCTGAGAATGAGTTACTTCAAAACTGTTAAATAGTAAATGAATTATTTTGAACCTCTCCTTATTCAGGTTCCAAAGGGAAGGGATCAAGAAGTAGGCATATTTGTGTTTGGAAACTTTTATTATTCTACATAAATTCCCAGAAATATTTATACATTATGTGTCTTGCAAGGCTTCACTGGTGAATTCCTAATGGAGGAAGTGCCAAGCACCATGAAGTGCAAAGACATTTATGGCAGTCTGTGGAATTCAGTACTTCCTTTGGAATTCTGCCCAGTGGCAGGTTTCCTGGAAGGAAGAAAAGTTTTTAATGACCTTGTACATGTGCCAAATTGGTACATGGCCAAGTGTTGTGACCTAAATCAAATGAAAGAATATTCTTATATGCAAGAAAGGGGGACCCCAAATTAGCAGTCTAACTATTGACAAAACATTGTTGGTTTAAATCTGCTTGGTCTATATTCTTTCCAGAGGCTAAGGCAGAACTAATGATGCTCATAGTTTTGCTGTGCTTTTCCAACTGCTAGTTGCTAGTTGACTTAATGAAATATATTAAAATCTGTGCTTTCTAGGGGAAAACCTATTTCCAAATTGTCAGTTATATATGCTTTCTCTGAATGAAGACAATCTCTTGTCCTCAACAACCTAGTGAAAATACAATGGTTATGGCCAAGGCATTACACATTTTAATATAAATTCTTATCCCATTACGCATTTGATACTTTGAAATAATTTAAGCCTCTGAAACAGGGGCCTGGAGAATTGCCAATATAGCACCATTTTTCAAAAAATGGAATCCAAGGAGAATGCAGGAAATTACAAGATGGTTAGCCTAATGTCTGTTCTGGGTAAATTGGTTGAAAGCTTTATTAAACATAGCATTAGGGTGCTGCTGAGAATGAATCAACGTGACTTCTGCAAAGGTAAGTCTTGTTTCACTAAGCTTTCTGAGGTCTGAGAATATCAGGAAACATGTGGACAGGAATGTCCCACTAGGAATTGTTTCTCTGGACTGGCTTTTCACAGAGTCTTTCACAAAATTCTCCTGAACAAATTTTGCAATCATGGAATTAGCGGGGAAGTCCTTTTATGGATCTCTAAAATAAAATATGCATGGTGTGGAAAAAATGAATAGGGTTTTTTCCCCCCTTCTGTCATCATAGTAAAAAAATGGGGTCATCCCATGAAATTGTTCTGTTGAAGTTTCAGGACAGATAAAATGGAGTCCTTTTTAAACACAGCATATAGTTAAACTAAAGAATTAACTTCTGCAAGATGTCATAATGGCCATCAATTTGGCTAGCCTCAAAAGGGAATTGGATAAATTCCTGTAGGAGAAGGTTACTGATAGGCACTAGTCCTGATTGGGTATGTGCCATCTTCAGGATCAGGGGCAATATGCATATGTACATTAATTGCTTGGGAATTGGACAAGAAGCTGCCATTACTACAGTCATGCCCTGTTTTGTGGGTTCCAGCGTGCAATTCGCTTGTCACTGTGTGAACATAATGCTGGACTAGATGGACCCTTGGTCTGATCCAGCATGGCTCTTCTGTTCTTATTTTCTTAAATCTTTTCATTTTGTTCTGTTTGAAACTATCATGTCTATCAGAAAGAAAGAAACTGAGATGAGATATGATTTATAAATATGAAAGAGTTTTTTGGAAGCATGCTTAAATTGGCCACGTCTGTTTTGAAATAAAAACAGCTGTTGAAGCGGTGACTTGGAACGTGTCCCTGATCTGTTTCAGGCCCCATGTTGCTTTCCTTCTGAGAATCACCCCCAAAGGTGCTGCTTGGAGAAAACAGAACTTCAGGAAGCAAATAGAAACAAGGAGGAGGCAGTTTCCAACAGGAACTGGTATGATCCAGCAGGAAACTCCTGATCTTCCAATCTAATTCAGGAACATGTTTCAGATCCTGGCCCAGCAGCTAGTGGCAGAATTTCAAAATATAGCATGATTTAAGCACGCTTTTAAAACATACAAACTTTGTGAATAAAGTCTGGTTTGACCATGATTGTTTCCTCGTACATTGACATGATAGGCAGTTACATTAAATTATTATACTTGGCTAAATTATTATTAAATTATTATACTTGGCTAAATTCTTCCACTTGTAGGGATATGAAGATCAGGCCAGAATCTCTCCCTCTCTTGCGCTCACTGGACTTTTTTCCCGTGTTCAGCCCTGGCCAGGGACCAAGCTGAGCCAAGCTGAAGTCTGTGAATGCTCAAGAACACTAGTGGCTTTTTTGCACAAGTATGCAACACACTTTCCTCTTAGTATGAACTGCTGTTCAAAAGACATTTCTACTTCTCCATAGAAATACTGAATTTAAATTATATAACCAAAGGGTGAGATCCAGGTTTAAGAATCATTTATTCCTATAGATTTATTTTTGCCTAACATAAAAAGTTTGTGCTTAATATGTTAAAAAGTTACACTTTGTTTCAAATGTTACTGTTAACCATGCCTAAATAATATTTTTTAACATAGACAGTTATATATAAGATCTGTTATGCTACTCCATTATTTTGGAGTGGTCAGCAATAAGTTAAAGTTTTTTAGAGGGGTGATCAATAATTGTACGAAGTCATTTCTTTCATTCATTAGTTATATAAAGATAGTGGAATCTTAGTTAACATGACAGTATGAACAGTTGCTTGCATCTTTATCCTGTAAAATCCATCTCTCCTGCACTACACTACTGGCTTCTGTTTCCGGTACTCCTTTACTACCAATTTTCATTTGTATCTTAGTTTGCAATGCAGTATCACTTTTATGAAAAGACAAAAAAAAATCATGTTATTATAAATGAACCAGATGGTTCTTTGCCAGGCATTCAACAATACCATACACCATAACTTAAAATCCATTGTTGTTCCTTATCCCAGTAAGGAATTCTATCCTAATGTATATGCAAAGGTGCAATTTTAGAAATTATTATTATAATTTAAATAGAAATGTGGTACATATTACCCAAGTGTGGAAGAGCACAACCTATGATCTGTGTGCTTTGCTCAGTCTGCTGTCTGAGCCTGCTATTTCAAATACGCCTAGAACAGCCCATAGGTTCTGTGTGACTTTTTAACTGTGTCAACAAAGGCACCCTTACCATGTTCACACAGCACAGCAAGCTGCACCACACGGATCATTATGTAGTTTCCTAGCACATGCATTGGGAGAAAAAAGTTGTGGTTTATTTCTCCCTCCATAGTTATGTGAACCCAGCCTCTCTCTCTCTCTCTCACATCGCCCAGTCAAGGGCAGCTTTGGCCAGGTCAACCTTCTCTGAGTCGACTTCCCCAAAAGAGCTAATTAACCAGGGAGAAGCCAAGCATACCTTTCTAAACATGCAGCCAAACTGACAGCAGCACACTATTTTCTTCCCTAGGCTACTTTCTCTTTATCTGGCCTCCAACCTTCTCTTCTCAACAATTCTATGTAATAATATTTGTCATCCAGGGCTTTTATTCACGATGGTCTTCCTCAGCTGTTTCTTGTTTTCTGGATGATAATATTACCAAAGTCAGGGTGCAGGAATACTTTTCCACTATATATTCTGGGAAGAAACACAAATGTATGAACAAATGAGGTACTAAGTAACAGATTCATAACAGATTCATTTACTCTTGTTGTTATGCTCTTAGCATGTACTTTGATACACTGATCAGCAACACACACTGTTGACATATTCGACTGGTACCTGTAAAGCCATTTCCATGATAAAGGATTTTCCTTGGCTTGGCTGAGCTGAGTGCCGCATTTCCCTTTCTGTTTTATCTGATTACTTTGTGTTTCCACCTTTTAGGATTTGATACCAGTATTTTGCCAATTTGCAAGGACTCCCTTGGCTGGATGTTTAACAGGCTTGATACAAATTATGACCTGCTATTGGACCAGTCAGAGCTTGGAAGTATTTACCTTGACAAGAATGAGCAGTGCACCAAGGCATTCTTCAATTCCTGCGACACTTATAAAGACAGTTTGATATCAAACAATGAGTGGTGCTATTGCTTCCAGAGGCAGCAAGGTAGATGGCTCTAACAACATGAAAATATTATTGATGTTTAATATGGGGTTTTGTTTTTAATTTGATAAAACATTATGGGGAAATACATGTAGGATTCATTTCTTTCAGGGATTATGAAAAGCGCAGCCAACTGGATCCAAAGAACTACAAAAAAGTCAAGTTCCCAGTCCAGTACTCTAACCACTATACCACATTACCACTGCAATTGAGATATGCATTTTATTATCAGAAGCTGTGTTGATGCTCTCTAACATAGAGGGTTTAAGCCATAGACATTTTAGGTAGGGTATGTATCCCCAATGATGATTATCAGTCATATCTGGGTCAAAAGATATACACCAGTTGACAAAGGAAAGTTGTCAACACCATGATTTGCTTATAAATTTCCCAGAGACATTTCAATGGCCACTGGTGGGATCAAAATAGAGTCTAGAGTCACTGTTTGTTTAACGGATCAAAATGATGTTTGCATTCTTGTTGCAATGCCTGGCTTACAGATCACAGCCATGAATAACTATGGTTATACCTGAAATTAAATTGTACATGGAGCAATCCATTCATAAGTTCTCAACCATAACTAAAGTTTAACATGCCTGGTGTCATTCTAGACCCACCTTGCCAGACAGAGCTCAGCAATATTCAGAAACAGCAAGGGGGAAAGAAGCTCCTAGGTAAGTCATAGATCATTCTTTTGAAGCTTTTATTGCTTACATAAATAACCCTATTGAAACTGCAACACAAAATCAATATGGATTCCAAAATGATAGACCAAACCAAATTTCACAACAGAATTTATAAAGTCTTATAAAGCTGTTAAACTTAGATTTATTACCTTATCAGATACAAGATACTATATCTGTTTTATTACACTACTCGAATGGCCATTTTTACAGTATTAAAAAGACACTGCAAAAAGAAAGGTTAGGTAATATACTAATAAAATACCATCTGGCTTTAAATGTTCTCTCTCATATTTTCTGCAAATCTCTTTTGTGAATAATTCTTTAAACATTTATATAACAACAATAGTAATATAGTCTTGTTCTGACAGAACTAACTTCTATTGAAAACTCTAGCATGAGTTGTGGCACTTAAGTGGAGTTCTTATTGTTAAGTTCTTATACTTAATACATTTCAAAATAAGTATCAGAGGACAGTTATTCATTTGATACACTACTGTTAGAGGAAGCATAAAAGACTATTGCTGCTTTTAAGTCAAACTGCATAAAGAAAATATTTGTATTAGAAACTCTTACACTTTATAATCACTATATTATAGAATTGTCACACAGTTAAAAAATTTTAGTTGATGAATTTGCGTATCAGTGAAAGCAGGATGTTCCAGCAATGAAGTAATTGACTGAACGTTGCCATCATGCTGCATTACAGTATCTGTTAGCAAGTCCTAGAAATCCTTTTAACTTTAACAACTAAAACGAGATACAGGTTTGCTTATGATTTCAGAACTTCTTGTCAAGGTTATATAGATGTGTGTGTGGGGGGGCATCAATGTATTACATCTGAAATTAATAATTATTAAATGATTATAAAAAGGCTGGATCCAGACATAGGATGAGGATCCACTTTAACATTCAAATCTCCACTGAGGATAGAATGAGGGGTGGAGGATTATGGCTGCTGGCTTGAATTTCTTGGAGAAAAGTGGAATTTAAATACAGTAAGGAATAAATAGGCACATTGAAATCAATGGACTATCTAATCATGACTAAAATCCAGTCACATCGATTTCAGCATGGCTTAGTCTGAATCTGTGCCAGATGCCTGAGCACAGAGAATACTGTCCTGTCATAAAAGGCTTTTTGAAACATGATGTACCAGAGAAATTTATTTGAATATGGTATTTCTCTGGCACTGCAGAATAGTCTTGTCCTCTTTGGGGCTCAGAACTTACTTTCTTCCGGTAGTGAAGGGGACTGTTAAAGAGAAGTGATTATCTGAGCCTTCTAATAGGTTGACAGAACCAAGGTAACAAAAGTTTGAAGAGGCCAATGAAATGACATTGACCAAGTTGAAGAGAAAACTGGGTTCTCCACAATTTGTAATTCCTGTCCACATTTCATTGGTGTTGATTCTTCTTTCTTCTAGCCATTACCTGTGCCACTGTTACTCTTGGATGGCAACCAGTAGGAAGTCATCCTCTTTTTGAGAGTCTTCTCTTGCTTTTAATCTGTGTTCATACAAATAGAAGTACAATATGATTTAAGTGTGTGTAGATCAACAAAAAAGAGGATATGAACTGTTCCTTATCTGTTAGAACAGAGAAATTAAATGATCAGTCATAGGGTTAGAGTTAGGAAATTTAAGTTTGATATTTTTTACAACTTTAGGAAGTGCTTACCTGGAAAAGTTGCTACATTTGAACACTTGGAAATTTATTCCTAAAGTTTTTACTTCAAGTCAGAGGATTTATGCTGCAAAACTGACTTTCTGTTCTTGTTGTTTTATATATCGCACAGGGCAATATATCCCATTATGTGATGAAGATGGGTACTACAAGTCAACTCAGTGCCATGGCAGTGCAGGGCAATGCTGGTGTGTTGACAGATATGGCAATGAGGTAACAGGATCCAGAACACATGGTGCTGCAGACTGTGGTAAGTCACAAAAACCTTCCAAATGCTTATGGTAAGGACACAAATTGGGGCCCTCTTCTGCTCAGTTTCTCCAGCATTTGGTATTCAGGGGACTACCATATTCACTACTGAAAGCAATATCAACTATCATGCCTATCCTTTGTGACCCTTTCAAAGTCATCCATGATGGTGGCCATTTACATTCTCTCAGCTGACCCATAAATAACACTTGCTTTCAAAAGAGGCAAATTAAAACCAATAATGTTTAACTTCCCCTCATCCCAGACCTCCCATTGTGGTTAGGCTTTCATCTCAGTGGAGGTTAGAGCCTCAGCCTATAGCATATACTTCCTAGACCCCTGCCAGAAAGTTATGTACCTTATTTGTACAAAGATGAAAATAGGTAATACAGTAAGCAAGTCTTGGCACAGAATAACATAAGTATATTTCATAGCTATTGATTTAGAGACATCTGGTGACTTTGCCAGTGGTGATTTCCATGAATGGACAGATGATGAGGATGATGACATGATGAACGATGAGGATGAAATTGAAGATGATGATGAGGATGAAGATGATGATGACGACGATGACCATGAAGGATATATTTGATCCTTTTAGCTGTGACTAAATTGTCTCTTTCTAAAATTTACAAGATGATACCCCGGAAAATTCATATACCTTCAAAGGTCAAAAGGATTCTAAACAACATGTATATTTTGTATGATTATTTGAAATATTGCAGCTGGAGTCATAGACTTTCTTTGTTTAAATGAAAATCATTATATTATGTGTTGTTTTTATATGCTGTTGAGCAGAAGAAAACACACTGGAATCTAGCCTGAAGAAAGAACTGTGTGTGTGCTACTAAAAAAAAAAGCAAAAACAAAAACAACAAAAAAACAAACCGTAAATGTGCAGATAATCATAAGGACAACCAAACTTAAAACCTTTCATGACAAAGTTGTCTTCTGTTTGGGAATGTGTGTGTATGACCGCTTCCAGAAGGTGCTCTGTTTTAAGCAAATCAACTTAAACTTTAGCAGTGATTTAGACCATGTGAACTTTTTTTTTTCCCAAATGTGCATGGGCAGGATAAAGAAAGCTCAATTCTGGACATAACATGTTGCCAGCTTATTATTTACTAGAGGAGTGGAGAAGCTGTACCTGTAGGAGATGTGTCAGATCCTCCTTTGTGTTTGCAACTGTTCTGTTTTTGACTTTGAAATTGCTAGGATCCTGAAATGATGTTTTAAATGCAGTAAACCCAGACACACAGATGCTGCAAATCTGAAGTTTTGTTGTCCTTTGTCCTCGTTTCTTTTATCTTTATGTTAAAATCACACAAGCTTGTTATGTGTGCTGGCAGCCTGATAATTTTATCTTTATTTCCATTGCAATCAAACCGCAACATTAGGTTGACATATTTTAATGGGAAAAGTTTGCATTAAAAGTGTGTTTATATATTACAGTACTTGAGAATAATGACATTTGCCCCAAGAAATACTTTTGAACTCCTTATGGCTTTTTAGTTTCCCAAATTAAAATAATTTTGCATCTCTCTCCTAGCCTACATTCTTTTCTGTTACTAATTCAAAACTTTAGAGGAATTACTGTAAGGTGCCTTGCAAAATAGAAATAGAAAGATTTATAGCATGGATACCAACATAAGATTATTAGGCAATAGCCAAGCATTACCAAATCAAAAATTAATATCGGTATAGGTACTGCTGCTGGAATGGAGAAATAGGTAATTTTCTCCCCCACCCCATTGTTATGTAATTATCATGTAGAATGCATTATAATTCTTAAGTAGAGTTGCATTCAAAATTTGACTGTAGAGAAAATTATTTTAATCACTGTATTTATGTTAGCATGTTAATTAATTGTGTAGACATTTTGAAACGCCGCTCCCTTCTTTCATATCAGACCTGTGGCTGTGTGCCATAATAAAATTAAAAGAACATGTGTAATATTATGCAAGCAGTTGTTTAATTTCAACTGGGCATTACTGTTTCCCCTGATTTTTATCTGGAGTTAATTGAAAGAAAAGTTAGTTTCTTCTTTGCATTTGATTTCAGTAGGTTTAATACTAAACTTAATTATCATCTTCTGTGACATTAAAGTATACTGCAGTTTCCCCCTTCCCCTCTTTTTTATGTTTATGTATAGTTTGCAAAATAAAGACTCTCATAACCAACTTTTACCTAGAATGCTGTACTGATTTTTATGCGTACCAGCTGCTGAAATCCTTTTATACTTTTCTGTTGAGAAATATGAGATCTCAGCTAGATGACAAATGCCATCCACCAACCAGCAATTTTGTTCAACCCTCCATATATGGCACTGTGAAGAGTGCTATTTTAGCCAATATGTTCAAGCCACAGTCAGTTCCTTAATTAAGGAAGGTCTCCCTGTGTCAGACTGTCATCAAGAGGACTGGTGCTTGATTGTAAGCTGGAGACTGGACGATGGAGACTGTCCAAGATACTCTGTTCTAAAATGTACGTAGGAAGGTTATGTAAAAAGACTAACTTCAGTGAACAGTTTGGCCTCTTCTCCTAAGAATTCCCATTTGTATCAGCAACAATACCCTAAGAAGACTGGATCTTGCTTACTTACTGAGTCTTTGTGCAACAGTGCAATTTTATGTGGTCTGCATGGTATGTAGAGACATTTAAGACATCCATAGTAGGCTCAGATGAGTTGCATTCATGTGAATCCACCCTGTGGATGCTCCAGCATACTGGCTTTTCCCAAGGCACATGGATTCTACAGTCTGGCGCATGCTTTCGCTGTAATTTCACCCTAGGATGGTCATAGAAATATATGAAAAAAACAATAGAATATGCATTTTCCACATAGGCTAGAGTGTGAAAATATACATTTTGGGGGAAATCAGTGGATTATTTGGGAGTTGAAATTTGTGCAAATGTATGCAAACATTTGTGCATAATCCAATTTCATCAATGGGCAGGTGACAGAATGAAAGGTACCTGGTGTAGTCTGAAATGCCTGATCCGGCTTAATCTTGGAAGCTAAGCAGGGTCAGCCCTGGTTAGAATCTGGATGGAAGACTTGAGTCATGCATTGAGCAGGGGTTTGACCCAATGACCTTCTAGGCCCCTTGCAGCTGCATGGTTCTATGAATGCAGATGGAATTGGTTTTACAGTATTCATATATATAATGGGTGCATTGATCTATACGTGCATATATGGCAGGGAAATATTAGCATTTTGTACTTATTTATTTATTTATTTATACTTGTGCCAAGCCATCCAATTTGGAGGGCATAGTCCTGCAGTAGATAAGTTATTGGGGCAAAGCAGGAGAGGTACAATTTCTTTTTTATGACACAAGAAAAAATAGTAAGTTTAGGAATAGGTATAAATAAATTTAGACTATTTCTACCTTCAGTTTGAGGTTCACATTGGCTAATAAAAAAGATTGTTAATGCTGTATTTACCCATGAAATTAATTTTATTCTAGTAATAACTGTGTAGTAAATTAGACACATATTTATTGACTCAAGCCCACTTGGTGAGTTCGATGACTAAGCAGATTCAAACGTTTCATGTCAAATGTTATCACTGTTCAACTTCACTGATGCACTGATAAACCAAGTGTTCATTCTGAAGAAGAGACATTCTACAGGGAAAGAGAACTCTTTTTTATTTTACCCGAGAGGATCACTGCACAGCCTCTGAAGGCTGCTTTTAAATGTACGTTTCAGAAGGCACTGAAGACACATGGGGTAGACAAGAAGGGGCATGTGCTGAACTTTGAAGTTGTAATAGCACCCATTATGCAGAAATGCCTGACCTATAACACAACTACTTCCCCCTCAGCAAGCAAGGTGCAGTGGGTAAATATGCTGTGGAAAGCACCAATTGACAGGCATGATTGGTCTTGTGGTTTGTATGCTAGTAAATGTTATTTCACTAAGCAATGGGAACAGTTGCTGTGCCATCACTGGCTGGCTGGTTCAATTCTACCTGTGCAGCCCCCTAATAGTGGCTGTCCTGAGAAAGAAGGTTTAGTTTCCAGTGCAAGGGTTGCAACTTGTGGCCCTCCAAATACTTTGGTTTAGAGCTCATCCCATCAGCTATGTTGGCTTGGATTGATGGGAGCTGTATACCAAAACTTCTGGAAGGCCACAAGTTGCCCACCCATGTAGTAAGCCACCAAGCTCAAATAAATGGAGAAGCTTAATTATGGTGTTGCCAGTGGAGAATCAACGACTACAAGTTCTTTTGGTTTGTTAGATACATTTTCACTGTTCCTTCACATGGTGTAGAGATCTATATTCAGACTTTATTTCAGACTTAAATGAATCAATATATATGATTATTGTTTCTCGTGTTATTGATCAGTTTCCTAGAGGCATTTTTAGGGGTGGGTTGTTACATATTTAAGGCATATGAGCCCAATTCTTGACTATCCCATGTCACTGTCTTTTAAAAAATGAAGACCGTACTTGATTTGTAAAATATTTTATTCTTGGAATTACAAGGAATAAAGTCCTTTGAAATTTGAGAGGGAAACAAAGTAGTTGGCTTCCTCTCCTTGTAACTGGTGTATAAAGTATATGATGAGCTTGATTTTTGACTGGCAAAATCCATTTATTTTGGATTTTGTATGCCAAATGTTGTCGTTATGTTGGTTTATGCTCCCATCAGCTTCAGCCAGTATGCCTCCACCCCCTGCCCCATAAACTTGCTACCCTACTGGGATTTCTTAAGACTCAGATTAGCAGCAGTGACATGGAAGCATGTGGGTGTATGTTATTAACAAAATGTTAAATATTAGCTTGATGGGGCTTTTTTTTTTCCAAAACTGCTACGGTTATTGAGACAAAATGGTTTCTCACATAACATCTTTGTGCGTATAATTGGTTGCTTTTTGTTAAGCTGAGAGATAATAACTAATTAAAGGCTTCGGGGTTAAAGTTAGAGTTCGTGGCTGAACTGGGAATTTAAAACCAGGACTTCCCAGTTCAAGTCATTCTTCTGCTTTCCTGTGTTGCATTATTTGCAGCAACGTATTTTCAGTGCAGCTGTTGTCTCACTAAATGTGCTGGGTGGCAGGGTGCATAGAATTAGATGAAGATCAAATGATAAGTCAACAAGAATTGAGGAAGTTAAATAATGGTTTAGTTCATATGATTTGGGAAAAATGGAAATGGTCAGATAAATGAAAAAGAAATGTTCAGTGGCTTAAAAATAAACAAGATTCATAAACCTGATAACTGTGTCAGTCAGTAGAGCTAAGATACAGACAGGTATGACTACAGCAATCTTTTCCCTGTCTTAATTTTCTTTTTCTGTAAATAAAAAGCTACTAGTTTGAGCTGCTAGAAATGGCCACTGTCTTCCAGTATGTGGTCATTGAATTTATAAGTCTCAGACTAGCAGCAGTAATGTGGCAACATTTGATTCCATATGCTCAAGTACCTTGTGCAGCAGGATTAAGTGTTTGCTTCATTTTTAATCTGCTGTGGTTATTAATTCAACATGCTCCTTAAAAGAATAAAAGTCATAACCACTTCTTGTATGGGCACCATTTAGCTATAGTATTGTGGGGAGTTCTCCCTGGCGCTATTCTTGAATTCATTGCCTCACTTTATTTCTGTTTCTGCACTATCCAGCAACCCATGGATAAGTCTCAGGGCAACAGTATCAGGCAATCATTCTCCCTGCAGCTCAATAAGTAGGCAAATCAACTGAAGTGGTAACACAGAGAAGATGAATGCTCCATATTAGACGTACAAGTGCCAGGATTCTTATCACAAAAAGGCTCGTGGGTTTTAGTCAGCCCTATTTTCAGTTTCATATATCTTGTTGCAGAAAGTCCCAAGTGTAGGATCCTTCAAATACAAGAGCATCCTTACAACAATGTATCCCTTCACAGACCTTAGAAGTTTTTGCCTCTGGTATTGTTCCTTAAAGAAAAGTGCTTTAAAAACAAGGCTGTGTGTGTGAAATAGCTCCCAGTGTGGTTATAGCTAAGCTTGTGCAACTCTGCTGTTTTTGAAGGCTTGTGACTGATATGGTAGAAATGGCAGAGCAGCACAGGGAGCGGTTGATAAAAGTGCTCTCATGCAGCAGCCACCACATAGATGGTCGTTGTTTTTTCCCCTTCCCCTGACACTGGAAAACAGACTTTCAGAGAGGTACCAAGTGTGGAAAACAGGCTGCCACAGAGGTACTGAACACTGAATTTTAAATTTATTCACTTTTTAGAATGCCTCAAATACACACCAAGACAACATGCAAATGGAGGTTTAGATACAAGTAAGCACTATTTGAAATTCATGTGCAAACACTGGTACACTATAGATCAGTGCCCTTTCATGCATGTGTATATACTGTATGTTAAAAACACACATGATTTTGTTTAACAGTGAACTATGCCTTTTTATATACAGCACATGAGAAATTGTTATTTGACAGTACTCTAGCTCTATGCATGAAAACATTCTGGAAGGAATGGGATATTGTGGAAGATGAGTAGCTGAAAGAGGTAAGTTATCACCTTACTTTAAAAAGATATAAATACAAGAAGTTGATTTTGTGGCAGCTTGTGCAGCTGGGTTGTGAATTCCATCTGAAGCACCAGCTGCTGAGGTAGGGGTTGGCTTTTTGGGGGGAGTGCTTCTTTTTAGAGACCCAATGCATGGGAGATATGGGTCTTCCCTTTTAACTGAAGCAGAGTTGGACACAAGTTCAAATTTCACATTAAGGGATATATTGCTCCTAAACTCTGTGTTCTCGGCCTCAAACCTGGGAACAGTTTGGGATACTTTCTTAACTGTTCCCATCCCTACCACCACCATCTTGACATCAATTTACCAACTGAGCTATAATTGCCTTAACCCTTAATTCAATTGGCAAAGGAACACTGATTAATGGTCACACTTCTAAAGATAGGACGATGTGTGATAAGCCCCACTTTTCGAAGAGATTACACTGCTATAAATACGTATATGGCTGCTGAACATTTGAGGTCAGGCAGTTCATGCAGATTTTTGGAAATGGATGCATGGCCTGCTTGTTTGT